AGAGAGAGAGAGAGAGAGAGAGAGAGAGAGAGAGAGAATTTGCATATTGATACACTTTAATAATACAATATGTACCTAGCCAATATTTAACTTTGACCAAAACGAGGAAATTGAATCACTTAAATACCCGAACGTATGGATCGGAGTCATGACATCGAGTCAGTTGCCCGTCAATGGTGTCAAACCGTTTGAGATGTGTGGCCAACAATTGGTGGCCTTCAGGGGTGCGACGGGTGCTGTCCACGTGTTATCCGCCTATTGTCCGCATTTGGGCGCAAATCTCGGTGTCGGCGGACATGTGGTGACTGAATTGGGCGACGACTGTATTCAGTGTCCATTCCATGGCTGGAGGTTTGGGGGCGCAGACGGACAGTGCAAACACATACCTAAAATTGAAAGTAAATTAATTTGATGCTATATTAACCAGGATAGTTTAATAATCACGTTTAATTAAAAACAACTCCCATGCCCCTTTTCATAAACATGATTTAATGTAAAATTTTTCATTAATTTCATTTCAAAAATACAATTGTCATCAGTTTTTATTTAATTATGTTTTTTAAGTTTGTTTATTATAAAATATTTATTACTTTTAATTTAGAGGCAGAGTTAAAATCATTGAAAGCAAGCGTAAAGAAATGGCAGTCCATTGAGAAAAATGAGTTGATATACGTATGGCATCACTCGGAAGACGGCGAACCCGATTACTACCCCTTGGATTTTACTAACAAACCTGATGGAAAATTATCATTATTGTACTCGTATTTTAGACTTTTACATTCAAACTATGAGGTAATATAATATTATCAATTAATTAAATAATTACTTGACAATTAAATATAGATATTACATAATTGATAATAATATTATTTAATGCAAACCTTGAAACTCAAAGCTGACAAATCATTTAAAACTATAATTACCATTAAAATAGCATTTAACAATTTATAATACTATGTGCATGCCATTACAGTTCATTTCCTAGATAACATTAAGGTTCTAGAAATTAAATTATAGTAAATGTAAAAACACCCATAATTAAAAATTACTTTAATATTTCACACATTATTTACAAAGCAATTACTATATATCAGGTACCCCACGACAACGGAATAGATCTAGAACATTTTGGCTACGTACATCACGTACTGATACCAAACGTGCTAACATTGGATTTTGAGTTTGACACCGATTATGGCGATGGACCGGTACCCATAATTACAGGTATTACTACCCTGAAACTATTTGGCCGAAAATTGTTGCGCATGCGCACCACTTCGCGCAAAGAATCGCCCGTTCAAGAGATGGTGTCATTTGGCTATATCCACGTCAATGCAGTACAGGTGCCACTCAGCCACGATCGGACATTTATAATTATTGGCCTGTATGGAGTCCGCACTGTATTTGCTATGATATACTTTAAACTATTTTTGATGTTTCTTATTGGTCAGGTTTGTATAATTGTTTTTTGTTTTTTTAAATATAAAACTAGCTCTAAATTATATAGTTAATACAATTTAGTTTATTTCTAAAATAATCTTTTAACAAAGTATCTCTCTCTCTCTCTCTCTCTCTCTCTCTCTCTCTCTCATAAAACTTGTATAAAGATTAAAATAATTTACCTTGTCGTGAACTATATCACCCTTTTTAAATAGTAAAATGTACAACAAATAAACAATTATGACAGCAATAATATATAATAACATTATGTTTAAAATAAAATTATTAATTCAGATTAAATTATTTAAACATGCTTTACGATTTATCCATGTAAATTTATACCTCAGAATATTCTTGTATACAGGTAAAGGTAGCATA